AGAGAGAGAGAAGGGGGGTTTCAGCTAGACAAATACTCATGTACATTTATCAGTTGATCATGACAACTATACTCATAGACATGATCTTCTTTTGGCAAATTAGACAACTGAGGCTCAGAGAGGTTAAATGACTTACCTAACATGACAGAGGCCATAAGTGATAGAGCTGAGTTTTGAACTCATGTATGTTAGATCCCTACAATTTAGGTTCTTTCTTAAACAACAATAAAAAATATTTTAGAGGGATGTCCTTGTTTTCATTTTTATTATGTTTTAAAAAATCAAACTAAACTTAAAATTCAGCACAAAAATTTAAATAACATAGAAGTGTGTAGACTAAAACAGGAATGTATCTTTTGACATTCCTCTGTAATCCTATTCACTTTCCTAGAGGTTATGATTGTGATTGTTAACAATTTATTGTGTGTGCTTCTAGACCCTTTTCTTTGCAATTATAAATGACAAAGGACAGTACATTCATAAACACACAAAGCTATTTTTGAATAATGACACCATACTATATATACTATTTCATAAACTACTTTAAAATATTTAATCTTTCCACCTCAGTTCTTACAAATCTACATCACTGCCTTTTAACAGTTGTGTAATATTCCTCAGTGGGTGAACCACAATTTATGTAACTTTCCCATGTTAATAGGTATTTATGTAGTTTTGTTGTTGTTGTTGTTGTTGTTTTAATGGTACATAGCACTTGCATAGATATCAGTGAGTGTATGTGTCAGGATTTCTGCTCAATAGGGGTTCGAAAAGTAGGGAGATCAGAGTGCATACCTATTTAAAATCATGATTGCTACTACCAGATTGACCCCCAATATGGCTAAACCAAATCACCCTCCCAATAACAGCTTATAAAGGTGACTGTTTTTACCCACTTCTTTGTTAGTTTAGGACAATATAGATTTTTCTTAATTTATCAGTCTAATAGGCAAAATGTGATATCTTGTTTGAATTGTAGTTTTATAATTATTAGTGAAGTTGATTTTTATGTTCACAAGCTATTTCATTTTCTTTTCCTTCGTATGTCCTTTTCAATGGCTTGTCGCTTCAAAATCCTCCCCTCTCCAACCCACTCCTACACTATACTCTTCACCTAAGGCAGCCACTAATCAGTTCTGTCAGTATAATTTGTGTTTTCTAAAGTTTTGTATAAATGGAATAATGCAGTATATACTTTTTTTTTTGGTCTGCCTTTTTTGATTCAGCATAATTATTCTGAGATTAATTTAAGTTGTTATAATGAGTCAATAGTTCATTCCTTTTTATTACTGAGTAGTATTCCATCATATATACCAAAATTTGGTTGTCTATTTACTAGTTAATGGACATTTGGGTTGTTTCCAGTTTGGATCTGCTGCAAACATTTGTGTACAGTCTGTATGACTTATGTTTTCTTTTTTCTTGAGTAAACATGACGGAGTAGAAATGACTGAGTCACATAGTAATTATACATTTAATTGTTAAAGAAAATGTAAAATGTCTTTCTTAAGTAATTGTATCATCGTACTTTCTGAAAGAGACTGTAAAACTCATGTTCATAATTCTGTAAATGTTTGGTGGAATCCTCCAGTTAAACTATCTGGGTCTAGAGATTTCTTCTTTGGAAGTTTTAAAACTATGAATTAAAAATTTTTAATGGTTATAGGACTATTCAGATGATCTATTTCATTGGGTGGTTGTTTTTTTTAAATTCACTATGACATTGTCTGATTTTACATTCCCATCAGCAATGAAAGTTCCAGTTCCTCCATATTCTTTTCAACATGTGGTATGGTCAGTCTTTAAAAAATTTCAACCATTCTAATAGGTGTTCAGTGGTATCGCATTATGGTTTTAACATGCATTTCCCTATTGACCTAATGATGTTGAACATTTTTTTATGTTTGCCATTTGTATGTTTTCTTTGGTAAAGTGTCTATTCAAATATTTTGCTTATTCTTTAAAAACTGATTTACTTGTTTTCCTATTATTGAGTTATTGAGTTTTGGGAGTTCTTTATATATATATATATATATATATGTATAATACAAGGTCTTTATCACACATATGATATACAAATATTTTAACTCAGGCTGTGGTTTTTCTTTTCATTCTTAACAGCATCTTTTAGAAAATCATAAGTTTTTAAATTTGATGTTCAGTTTATTGATTTCTTTCTTTTATGAATCATTGTATCTAAGAAATCTTTGCCTAACCTAAGATTACAAAGATTTTTCTCCTCGGAATTTTATAGTTTCAGCTTTTAAATTTGATTATAGCCCATTTTGAGTTAGTTTTCTTCTGTGGTATGAGATGTGAAGTTCCTTTTTTGCCTATGTATATCACATTGTTCCAGTACCATTGCTGTCCTTTCTCCACTGAATTGCCTTTGTAAAATAAATAAATAAATTTATCTGTATAGGTGTGGGTCTATTTCTGGGCTTTCTATTATGTTCCATTGATCTACTCACCTATCTTGACACCAGTGCCACACTGTCTTAATTGCTGTAGCTTTATAATACGACTTGAAGTCAGGTAATGTTAGCCTTCCAAGTTGGTTTTTCTTTTTCAAGATTGTTTTGACTATTCTAGGTTCTTTGCATGTCCTTATGCAATTTTAAATCAGCTTGTCAATGTCTACATACAAGCTTACTGGTATTTGGGTTGTGTTCAATCTGTAGATCAATTTTGTAAGAATTTACATCTTAACACTATTGAGTCTTTATACCTGCAAACAAAATATATCTCTGTTTATCTAGATTTTCTTAATATTTCTCAGCAATATTTTGAATACTTCAGTGTACAAAATCTTCTCTCTGGCACTTTGCCTTGCAAATTCTCACTTTCTTGCCTTTCCCATACTCCCAACTCAATCTTCTCAACATAGGGATACTACTGGGTTCCACCTGGGTTCCCCTTCCTGCACTGAGTCCTGCAAAACTCTAAGCTGGGACACTCATAAGGCTAACCTCATTTGCTTTTTTCTGTCTCTCAGCATTCACTGTCCTTCACTGCTGGATTTCCAATGCCTTTAAAACTACTGTTGCATGTATTTTTCCTAGTTTAGTTTAGTTTAGTTTTGTTTTGTTTTTACTTGTTTCAGGCTAAATGAGTAAAACTAGTTTCGGTGCCCTATCTTGGCCGGAATAAGAAGTAGCTGTTTGTAGTAGTATTTTAGTAGTAGTAGTTAGTAGCGGTTAATAGTAGTAGTATTTTCAGATGACAGTTTGGCCTTTTACATTAGAATTGCAAATGTATTTGTTTTTTGACTCAGCAATTCCAGTCCCTCTTCTAGGTGGTAGAGATAGAGCAGTGAACATGACAGACATGCTTCTATGTTGTGTAAAATCTAGCTTGGAGACAAACAGCAAACAAAACCAATAAGTAAAACAGGTTCTATGTTAGAAAGTGATAGGAAATGCTGAAGAGAAAAAAAATTAAACATGGAAGGAAGATAGGAATGGTTGGGTAGAGGGAGGCATGTCAATGTTTTAAATATATTGACCCAGAAGGGCTTACTGAACAGAATATGTTTGATTAGAATCCTAGAAGAATGGATATCTGGAGGAAGATCAGTCTGGGTAGAATAAACAGTCAGTGCAACAGCCTCATGTATTTGACAAATAGCAAGAAATATTTGTAACAACTACTATAGTGTTTGAGCTCACAAAATGGTAGCTCTTTAGACTATTATTACTAATGATGGTGGAATTAGGAATATGACCTAGAACTGTATGGCCTCAACATTCATCTTCTTGCTGTTCAGTTACATTTTGTCTTCCTTACAATCATGAGGCATATACTCATGGCTTGTAATTGTTCATACATTGTTTCTTATCATTGTCCTGCTTTTACACAGGCTTGCCTTGTGTTCTCAATCATGTTATTTCCATGCCTATGTAGTCTGTGTTGACCCTTGCCTGATGGGATATTGGGCTATGACATTTCTCTTTACACTAATCATTGGGGGTGATTTTGTTAGTCTCACTGGCTAGACAGTGGTCCCCTTTCTCCATCACATGTGTTTCATCTCACAGTGTATGCACTTGGGCTAAAAGGTTGGTCTCCATGGAGACCGGAAAATCCTTAGGTACACATGAGACATTATATAAAAATTCTAATCACAGCTCCTTCTGCATGCCTTCAGCACTTCCTATAGCATCCAAAGCACTGTGTTGGTGCTTTTTAATTTTATTTTACTTTCTATTGAATAGGTAATGTACCATGGCATGAAATTATAAAAGAACAATGTGACATAGAAGGGAAAACACAGTTGTTCTCCCTCTATTCCCCAGCCAGTCATTAGTCCTACCTTGAGACAAACAATGTAATCAGATTCTTTGGTATCCCTTCAGAACTATTGAAAGCATATGGGCATGTAATTGTGTTTAGTCTCCTTCCATGTCCCACCCCCACCCATAGAAGGTACCTTGACAGCTCCTTTCATTCCTTTCTTATCACACCCTGTGAAGTAGGGTTTGCTGTCCCTATGTTACGGATGAGAAAGCTGAGGCTCGGAGAATTGAGGTGACTTGCCTAAGGTCCCCCAGGAAGGAAATGGAAAATCCAGGACTACTGCCACCTTTTATATGCATTTTTTCTTCCAAACTGAGAAGTGCTAGGTTCTGTGCCTTGAGCATGGTAGGAGATACCTAAACACTTACTGGTTACTAGAGTGATTAAGAAAATCTCTGATTCTTTGAATCATATTAGTATTCATGTTACAGACTCTAGATAAAAGGCCAGCAAGCATCAACTGGTGGGTAGCATTCAGAAGACAAAAACTTGATCCAGTTATTCTCTAGATATCTTCCTTCTTTCTCCACAGATCTATTTAGGTCCACCTGAGGAAAGCGCTGCACCGCCAGTGCCTCCGCCTCGGGTGACAGCAAGAAGGCACAAACCAATCACGATTTCAAAGCGCTTGCTGCGAGAAAGGACGGTTTTCTATACTTCTTCCCTGGATGAAAGCGAAGGTCAGTACTGAGGTTTACCCTTAGCTTCTGAATGGTGATTAGAGACAGAGAGGATATTGAAGGGCAGAAGTGGTGGCATGACCATTTTTCTCTCTATAAAAGTAGATCTTTCCTGGCTCCTGAGCTTAAAAGCAGCCAGTGTTTGTAGTTTGTGCTCAGAGAGGGGATTAAGCCTTTGACAGTAGATAGGATGGTGATGAGCTTATAAAGGAAGTTACCATGTGGAGGATCCCTATAAGGCCAGTGCAGGATCCAAGGTGTTCTTAGATTTATGCCCCTAATATATTGAAATGGGTGAGCAAGGTGAATGTGAAATTTTAAATTCAAATATAGCAAACATGGATTGGATAACTACTATGTGCCAGGTACTGTGCTGGGTGAAATTAAGATACATTGCTTGCCCTCACAGAAGAAGTGAAGACATAGATAAGTGAAAAAATAAATGCCTTCAGTGGAATAATTGCTAGTGTGGAGAATACACCCATTCTAAATGTACCTCTGCCCTCCTACTCCACTAAGACCATTTTTGTCAGGTTTGCCAGTAATCTCCATGAGGCCAAACCAAATAGCTACAACATTGTTCTCATCATACTCAGTTTGTGTGTAGCATCTGACACAGTTGACTAACTCCTCCTTCTTGAAACACTTTATTCTCTTGGCTTTCAGGACACCAGATTTTCCTTTAATCTCACCAGATAATCCATCTCAGTCTTCTCTCCTGTTTTTTCTTCTCTTCCCAACTTTACATGTTAGAAGGTCCCAGAGCTTTTTTCTTAGTCCTGTTCTCTGATCATGTTCTTTTCCTGTATGATCTCATTAAGTTTCATGGTTTTACATATCATTTAAATGCTAAAGATGATTTTCAAATTTATCTAAGATTGATATCCTGCCTCTTTTGTCATATCAAAATTCCTGCTCAACAGTTCTCCTTGGATGACTCATGGGCATCTCAGTTTACACTGTGGAAAACATAACTTGATGCCCAACTCTTTCTTAACCTATTCCTACTCTGGTCTCCCCCATCTAAGTAACTGGCAGCAGCAGTCATCCAGTTGTTAAGGTCAAGAACTTTGGAATCATCCTTGGTTACTCCTTTCCCCTTTTCCTTCATATTGAATCCATTAGCAATTCTTGTCAGCTCTACATGCACATTATATGCTAACTTCTACTACTGCCCACTGCTTCTGTCACTGTGAGCCACTATTATCTCTTACCTGGTACCATTGCTTGCCTTCTTCCTTGCCTATAATTCATTCTCCCTGGCAACCAGTAACATGTACATCCTTTAAAATATGGAAATCAGGATTCTGCAAGCTTCCCAAGCACACATCAGCAGCTGGCTCCCTTGCTGTCTGAAACGTGGACCTCTCTCCATTTCCAAAATGTTGCTTTCTAACAAGCTGACACTGGACAAGCTGGACGTGAAAGGGACGCGGGTCATTATGAGAGTCGACTTCAATTTCCTATGTAGAACAACCAGATAACAAACAACCAGAGGATTAAGGCTGCTGTCTTAAGCATCAAATTCTGCTTGGACAATGGAGCCAAGTCAGTAGTCCTTACGAGTCACCTAGGCCGGCCTGATGGTGTCCCTGTGCCTGACAAGTACTCCTTAGAGCCAGTTGCTGTAGAACTCAAATCTCTGCTGGGAAAGGATGTTCTGTTGTTGAAGGACTGTGTAGGCCCAGAAGTGGAGAAAGCCTGTGCAAACCCAGCTGCTGGGTCTGTCATCCTGCTGGAGAACCTCCGCTTTCATGTGGAAGAAGAAGGGAAGGGAAAACTCTGGGAACAAGGTTAAAGTGAGTCAGCCAAAATAGAAGCTTTCCGAGCTTCACTTTCCAAGCTAGGGGATGTGTATGTCAATTATGCTTTTATCACTGCTCACAGAGCCCACAGCTCTATGGTAGGAGTCAATCTGCCTCAGAAGGCTGGTGGTTTTTTGATAAAGAAAAAACTACTTTGCCAAGGTCTTGAAGAGCCCATAGTGACCCTTCCTGGCCATCGTGGGTGGAGCTAATGTTGCAGACAAGATCCACCTGATCAGTAATATGCTGGACAAAGTCAATGAGATGATTATTGGTGGTGGAATGGCTTTTACCTTCCTTAAGGTGCTCAACAACATGGATATTGGCACTTCTCTGTTTGATGAAGAGGGAGCTAAGATTGTCAAAGACCTAATGTCCCAAGCTGAGAAGAATGGTGTGAAGATTACCTTGCCTGTTGACTTTGTCACTACTGACAAGTTTGATGAGAATGCCAAGACTGGCCAAGCCACTGTGGCTTCTGGCATACCTGCTGGCTGGATGGGCTTGGATTGTGGTCCTGAAAGCAGCAAGAAGTATGCTGAGACTGTTACTCGGGCTAAGCAGACTGAGCGAGGGGGGAGGTATTTGAATGGGAAGCTTTTGCCCGGGGAACCAAAGCCCTCATGGATGAGGTGGTGAAAGCCACTTCTAGGGGCTGCATTAGCATCATAGGTGGTGGAGACACTGCCACTTGCTGTGCCAAATGGAACACAAAGGATAAAATCAGGCATGTGAGCACTAGGGGTGGTGCCAGTTTAGAGCTCCTGGAAGGTAAAGTCCTTCCTGGGGTGGATGCTCTGGGCAATATTTAGTACTTTCCTGCCTTTTAGTTCTTGTGCACAGCCCCTATGTCAACTTAGCATTTTCTGCATCTCCACTTGGCATTAGCTAAAACCTTCCATGTCAAGGTTCAGCTGGTGGCCAAGAGATGCAGTGCCCAGGAACCCTTAAACAGTTGCACAGCATCTCAGCTCATCTTTACTGTACCCTGGATTTGCCTACATTCTTCAAGATCCCATTTGAATTTCTTAGTGACTAAACATTGTGCGTTCTAGAGTACATATATTTATATTTTGCCTGTTAAAAAAAGTGAGCTGTGTTAGCTTAGTTCTCTTTTGATGTAGGTTATTATGATTAGCTTTGTCACTGTTTCACTACTCAGCATGGAAACAAGATGAAATTCCATTTGTAGGTAGGGAGACAAAATTGATGATCCATTAAATAAACAATAAAAGTGTCCACTGAAACCATGAAAAAAATGGAAATCAGATCACATCATTCCCTCTGTGCCAAATTTTCAGTAACCTCCCTTCATATCTAGAATAAAATTTGCATTTTATTCTTCATTATATGACTGTTGCTGATTTCTCTGACCTTCATTTCTGAACTTTGCTCTCTCACTGTCTCTTTTGCTCTCTACTCTAATCTCATTGTTCTTGCAGGTCCTTACTTGTGTCAAACTTACCTAAGAGCCTTTGCATTTGCTACTCTCTTGGCCCTAAACATTCTTCCTCCAGAACTTCACAAGGCTCACTCTTTCATTCAGATGTCTGCTAAATGCCATCTTCTCATAGAGATCTTTTCTTAACATTCTACTTAAATAGTTCTTTCTCCTCCTCCAATCACTCCCTATCCCTTTATATGGCTTTATGCAACTCATATCCCCTGCTACTGTTTGTTCATGTGTTTATTATCTCTCTTTCCCGTTAGAATGTAAAATCTATTTGATTACCAGGCCCTAGAACAACTCCTGGTATACGTATCATGTATTCAGTAAATATTCTGAGAACGAATGAGTGGATGTATAAGGAATGATGAAGAGATTATCACTTAAGGGATCAACTCTTTCATAGAGGAGGTGAGCTGGCATTCAGGAGAAAGTAGAAGGGAACATTCAATGCCTGTCTGTTGTTCCATAGTCTCATTTTTACAGAATGGGTTTGTTTATTTACAGTCTCCTCCAATATAAACTCTAGGACACTTGTGTATATGCCAGAGGACACTTGTTTTTTCGTACTGTATCTAAAGCATGAGCACAGTGCCAGGCATATAGTAAGTTCTTAATAAATGAGTACAAAAAATGAATGAACTGGTGTCAGTAGACAGAAGGTCTAATTTAATCTTGGCTACTAGCCTGCTGAATAACTTGAGCTAGTCACTTCCCCTCTCTGGACCTCAGTTTGTCCCTCTGTGGTGATGAGGGCTTTGGGCCAGAAGATCTCCAATGAAGTTATCCAGTCTAGACATTTATTTTTTATTTTTAACTTTTTAAAAAACTGAGCTATAATTCACATACCATAAAATCCACCATTTTAAAGCATACAGTTTAATGGTTTTTTAGTATATTTTGTGCAACTATCTTATTCTAGAACATATTCATCATCCCAGAAACCCAATACTTTTAAATTTACTTCTCCCCCAACCTCTGACAGTTGCTGATCTACTTTCTGCTTCTACGGATTTGCCTATTCTGAACATTTCATAGAAATGTAACTATAGAATATGTGGACATTTTTGGATGGCATCTTACTCTTAGCATAATATTTTCAAGATTCATCCACATTGTAGAATGTATCAGTACTTCATTCTTTCTTTCTTATGGACAAATAATATTCCTTTGTATATATGTAGCACATTTTATCCATTGATCAGTTGATAGACACATGGATTGTATTCATTTTGTGGTTATTATAAATAATGCCACTGTGAACATTAATGCACAGGATTTTGTGTGGATGTCTGTTTTTAATTATCTTGGGTATATACCTAGGACTGGAATTGTAGGTTATATGGTCAGTCTATATTAAAACTTTTGAAGAATTGCCAGCCTGTTTTCCAAAGCAGTTGTACTTTTTTTTTTTTTTCCTTGAGATGAAGTCTTGCACTGTCACCTGGGCAGGAGTGCAATGGTGTGATCTCAGCTCACTGCAACCTCCGCCTGCCAGGTTCATGTGATTCTCCTGCTTCAGCCTCCTGAGCAGCTGGGATTACAGGTGCACACCACCACACCCAGCTAATTTTTTATATTTTTAGTAGAGACAGGGTTTCACTACCTGTCTTGGCCAGACTGGTCTCAAACTCCTGACGTCATGATCCGCCCACCTTGGCCTCCCAAAGTGCTGGGATTACAGGTGTGCGCCACCACACCAGGCCACAGCTGCACCATTTTACTTTCCCACCGGCAATGAATGAAGGCTCCAATTTCACCACATCCTCGCCAATACTTTGTATAGTCTGTCTTATTTATTCTAGCCATTCTCTGTGAGTGTGAATCCATCATCTCATTTAATGTTCAACACTCCCATGAGAGGTAGGTATGCTGAACTCTGTTTTATAGTGAAGGCACTGGAAGCTCAAAGATGATGAGTAGTTTTCCCAACTAACACAGCTACTAAATGACAGAACAATTTGCACTCATCTATCTTATCCTGAAGCTTATTTATTTACTATAATATCACACTTCCTATAACCTGTGTGAACACTGTTCTGAGAAGGAACCAATCCTACTCACCAGTAGCATCTCATTATCTTACTCTGAAATTTGTTATCCCTTTTGTATATAGTATGTCAGTGACTCCTTTCACCCTCTCATGGACTCCATCACACCTCCATAACTAAGCCCTGGTTATTCCACTTCTTTAACCTCTTGAATCCGCCTCTCTTTTCTGATGCAGCTCTAGTTTGGATCCTTCTCATCAGCAGTCCCCTAGCTGGTCTTTCTGCCACCAGTCTTTCTGGTCCAACCTATTTTTTATTGGAACAAGCCTACTTTTCATAATGAACCCAAAGGGATGTTTAAAAATGCATATTTGATAATGCCACTTCTCCCCACCCCCAGCCATCTGCCCCTCAAAATCATTGTCTTCTGTGACTCAAAGGCAGAGTTTGTATTCCTGAGCATGGCATTCATGGACTTCATAATATAGACCCAACTTATTTCAACAACCTCACTTCCAGCTACCCACACTTTTTCATCTATAATTGGTCCCTATGCTCAAGCCAAACCAAACTTTTCATTATATTTTCTTAGGCAAAGCATGGTCTTTCATTCCTCCAAGTTGTTTTTTGTTTGAATGCCCTTTCTACTTTGCTTTACCTTTTGTAATTCTTCAAGGCCCAGCTCAAAAGTTACCTCTTTTATAAAGACCCTCTCTAATCCTTGCAGTCAGTATTAGTACTGTCTTACTCCTAGCACTTATTTGCACGAATCTAAATGTATTATAATAATTGATCTATTTCTATTACAGTACTAGTGTGTATCCTCTCAAAGCTTCTCCCCACCTCTTACCCACCCATAGAAGAGAGGCTTCCACTGTAAGGGTTGGCCCCATACCTATTTATGAGGCCTCACTCTCTGATCCTGATTCACTCGCAGTTCTTCATAGTCCCTGAGGCTTGTTTGTGTGTTTTCCTGTAGAAATGGATGGCTGGTTAGGGAAAGGGGATGGCACCGAACTTTTATTACCTGACAGAGCAATGAACTGTCTCTTCGGAAAGAGTAAATAGACTCTGGAAACAGACTTCAAGATTTGAAACTTGGCGTTTCCACTTAGTAGCTTTGTGACATGGAGACTTCGGGTGCCTTAGATTTCTTATCTGTAAAATGGGGCTAATAACAATGTACTACTTTATAGAGCTGCTTTGAGGATTATATGAGATAATCCAGGTAAAGCATTTAGAACAGGGCCTGCCATGGTATAAGTGTTCAAGTAATGGTATATGTTATCTTTATCAGTATTATTCTCGTTATTACTATCATTGTCACTATTATCATTATTTTTATTCACCATACCCCAGAACCTGGAAATAGTTTCCCTGCTGAAAGGCCTAGCTCCGAAGTCATCATGGCTTCTATCATTACATTTCCTATTTTCCCTAGCAAGCAGAAGATACTTTCCTGAGTGGAAGGTAGCAGCCTCTCTGAGGCTGTGTATGTGGATCCTCTTTATGAAAACTGACCCTCTTGAGATGGTGATGATACTCTATGGCCTGTAGGGCACAGGCAACCTTTATTGTCTTCCCTAAGGGAGAGCAAAGATGGAGTCACTTGGCCAGAAGAAAGTATTCAGATAGGAACATGCAGCTGAGATGTTGGGCTAAAGCATGTGAGGGAAAGAATTTATGTCACCATGCACTTTATTGTTTGGAGAGAGTAGATGTGCTTGAGTTACTCCTGAGTGCTATATGTTTAAAGATGGCCTCTGCCGCAAGGCACGTCCTGGAAGCCAGAGCCTCTAGTTACTTGGCACTCTTGTGCTCATGTTCATGCCATTATTTGTGAGCCTTTGGTAGTTTTTTTTGTTTGATGGCCTCTGTCTGGCTGCACTTGTGCTAGGGTTAATAAATAAAGGGCTATGTGTCTACTTTGGGACAAAATTAGGGGGACTGCAGGGGAACTCCCCTTGGTTCCGGCCCCTTTGGCAGTGGCATCAGTGGTGGCAGATTCCCAAGGAGAACAAAACTGTCTAGGGAACAAAAACCTTTGCAGCAAGACTTCCCCCATGTAAACTCTTGCCTCACTGCCCACCCACCACATAATAGTGTAAGTAATAACCACCAATTAATGAGTGTCTGTTATGTGCCAGGCACTGAAATAAGTATACCATCTCCTGGAATCCTCACCACAACCTCATGAGACCGGTATTCTTTATTATTCCCATTTTACTGAGGAGAAAATTTGAGGTACAGAGAGAATAGGGAACTTGTACAAGGTCTCACAGTTGGTAAGAAGCAGAACTGAGATTCAGACCTGGCCACCTGGCTTCAGAGCCTGCATTTCTTTTAACATTTTATTACGAAGAATTCCAAACATAAACAGAAATTGAAAACAAACATATTGAACTCCCCACATTTCAGCATTTAAGAACATACACCCAGTCTTATTTCATCTATACCCTTACCTGTTCCCCCAACCTACTCATCATGTCATTTCATTTGTAAATGTTTCAGTATATATCTCTAGAAGAGAGGAACTCTTTTAAAAGCAAAACCACAATATCATCATCATACTTAAAAGAAAATAAAACAAAACAGTGATTCCTTAGGATCAACTATCCAGTCAGTATCCACATTCTCCTATTATCTCATTTTGTTAGAAAAAATCAGTATCTAAATAAAATCCATGTATTGCAATTGGTTGATATATATCTTAGGTTTCAATTTGCTGGCTGGAACCTCTGTTCTTAACCACTACACTCATAAAGTTTTTTATGACTATGGTAAGTGACCGTTTCTTTACAGCAGGCATTCTCAATCTGGG